CATGAAACTGCTGTCACTAGAATGAAACAATATTTTCCATGTAATTTGCTCTCTTCGTACAAAGATTTCCTGAAAACTGTTGATAGTCAAAGCTATCAAAATAGTCTACACGCATTCTTTCCAAAAAATTAACCATTCAACAGCTCTCAAATGATAAGGCACACTAAAAATTCAGTCTGACATTGACGAATTAATCGCTGTATACGTTCGCAACATTCAGTGCCTTGTCACGGATATTGGGTGCACAGAATATGCGTGAGCGGCTAGTAAGGTTGCAATAGTCGGCGGATGGACATCGTCAACTGATTTGCATGGTGAAATAAACAATAAAATAATTTGAAAGAAATATGAAAGATGGGTTCTCACTTATGGACATGATCGATGAGGTTAGAACAAACGTATTTGATAGAGTAGATTGAACTAGGAAATACTTAGTGACGGGTTTTGTTTATTGAAGAATACAATTGTGTAAGAGCTTAAGCAATCGATTCCTACACTTCTACCAACAAATATTTTGCATACTAAGTATACTTTGCTGAATTGAATTGTTTTTAAATCGAAGTAGGATCGTAAGAAATGCTACCAAATGACTAGAACTATGGTTGATTCAAAGAGATTACGGTTGATTGCATGATGTAGGGCTGACCGTCACGCAGAACTCACGTTTTAATTCTTCTCAAGATAATATAGAAGAGTTGTGATTAAGGAAATTAGCATAATCTGTTTGCATTGTGAGCCGTTTATATCATAGTACTACATGGAAAATATTGGAACGATAGTTTGTCTTCTGTGTGGGAACATGTTAGCTAGATAAACTGTGTCAAATCTTCAAATCCATAAGCTTGCATTGTATCAACTAAAAATTTCCTAGCTTTTAAATTGACGGCCAAGGCTTATGTAGCAGATAGACTTGAAGCTCATCGTGAAGGATATGTTCAGAATTATGTCGTGTAGAGCATCAATGCGATTAGAACTACTCATAATTACGATTTAGTGAAAGACTTTAATGAAGTAAAGATCGAAATTTTGGATTCTTTAGAGTAATACTCATATCAAATACATTTTTTACTGGTAGTCATGAATTTATCATGTACATAAAATTTCTGTAAGAGTCATTGCTAGGTGTAACTACTTCATTCGCAATCCTTCTTTGCTTGCCTGTCCTTAACTGTTTCGATATCGGATGAGAAAATGTTCCATTTCGACCAGTAGTTCTCCAATCCGTCACATCCTTCGCAGGCATCCATAAAACGTTGATAGATTCTGCGACTTTGTTGTGGCGTCATAAAAGACTTCCAATCGTTGATTTCTCCCTTTCGTATAGTTTTCAAGTCTGACTCAGCCATAAATATCTCTTGTCGTCGAGCAGCGGTCACTGTATCTTTAATACTGTCGATAAATTTTTTTTCGAATAGTCGTCGTTCATGATCAAATTTGCCTTTCATGTAATCGAATGACGCATGTTTCATGATTTTTTCCAATAGCTGATCGCTCAAAACAACATTAATAAAGTTGGCGACCTAAATGAAGGAAATATTATTGTAACTGATATGCCTAACTAAAACAATGGTAGTTCCTAGCACTGTCATTCATAATGATGCTGCAGTTCAAGTTTGCGAAATGGTGCGAACGTTTATTAAGTACTACAAATAAGATACACAAGATCACGACCATGTCTACTATCCACAAACGATTTTCAAAGATATTTGTTGAACTAGTATACACATGATCAAAGCTGTTGCTAAAATTTTACTGTTGATAAGCATAAATCATTTCCACTCAAGCTTACATGAAAAATGGCTGCTAACATCATTAACATTTTTATTTGACTGTTAGTGCGATCTAGGGAAATCGCGGCACAAAAAGATCAGATTATCAATAAATATGATTCTATCAGCTAAAATATTGTATGACCATATGTTAAGTTCAGATTCGAGATAGATCTTTTTTACTAGTCATGATGTTCATTTGTGGAAGCACTCTAATCTCTCATCATGGTTGTGTCAATTTTTGAAAGACTAACCTTCTGTATCACAGACTGAAACTCAGTTCGCATTTCTTCATAGGAAACAAGTAGAACATTGTCATAATGGCGCCGTTGCCAAGCTGATCGAAGTGCTTCAAAATAATCACCAAAAGGTAGATAGCCTTCGATGAAACATTCGAAAAAACGATCAAATTCAAGTTTTGGTACATCAGGCCACATGTTATAGAATATATAATAGGATATACAAACATCTTTTGGATTCCTTATAACACATATATATTTGGACAGTAAGCTGTATGGCACTCGATGCATTGGTAAATGAGTTTTGATTGCACCTGGTCGTTGCATCGTTTCAATACATTTTTTGCCGTCGATTTCCAAGTGTGGATTTCGCTGAAAAAATTCAGCCGTATTCGCATCGAAGGGTTGCCCATTCGTTAGAAGATTGTAGACAATATTTTGCATCCAAGTCGTTCCACTTCTCGGATAAGTAACAATAAACAAATCATCCGGTCTAGGCTGATACGAGAGACCAAAACGAAGGTTACGTAAACCCCATTCTGATACCCAACATATACCGTCGATGATTTCAAACAATTCGTTTTGCTCGCTTTCACTTGAAACTAAAGAAAATCACAAAGTCTATTGGTTAATGAAGTTGACTTATTGTCAATATCCAATTAGTTGATTCACCTGATGTTTGTTCTGGTTCCATTTGTTACTAGAAAGTTAAATAAATTTCAGTTAGCGAAATGTCTTTGTGACTTATCAATATTTCTTTTGTATATCTTATCCAAAACAAGTGAAGAAAAGTTAGGGACTAGTGATATGCAACATATTTTTAGGAAGCGCTAATTAAAAGAATCAAATACACTTAAAGATGCCCTTCTGGATCTTTTCTTTTGCATAACTGAGACTATGATAGATTTTAAAGAAGCAATTACTATAAACTTCCTACTTTTTCATAACTTTTGAAACTCTATCACAATTCTCAACTCATGGAAGTATTCACTACAATATCGTATTTGATACAGCTAGGAGATCTTTTACTCTTCGTCTTCACTATTATAAAAAGAAACATAATCCTAAATAATGTTTTCAAGCATTGAAACGAAGTTTCATAATAACTTATTTTTCAATGAAATAAGGAACTAAAAACGCTCTTATTTATTAAAGCAAAACAAGAAATAAAAAAAAAAAACTTGCTCGTTTTTGAAACTAGAAATTTTCAAGTCAAAAATCATGTATCAAGAGAATCCGTATGTCATTATAATGCCGTGCAAACGCTTTCATCTCAGTAGGTAAAATCAGGATCATAGAATACTGTCTTTCACATTATAGCAGCTTTTTTCTCTCAGTCATAAACTATTTAAAATGACTGTTTCTTTATTCTCTTGCTCTCGGACTGACTCATTCATGGCCATGCTGGAAAAAGTATTACCTCGACAAAATCTTCTATCTAGTTCAATTTAGACAGTTCTAAAAATTGCATCCGACTAGGATACAATCTTTCATCAAAAACGTGCATATGTCTACGTTCTCAAGTGGTTAGACCTATCAGCATGAGAAACAAGTTGTAGAATATGAAAAGAGGGCACTAGTTGCACTGTTGGAGTTGTCCTGTGTGAAGAAAAAATTGACTTAACAATTATTTACTTGAGTGCAAATCTTTCTTTTCAATCTTTTATGATAATATGACTTGCCGCATCTACTGATCTTTTGATCTAACATCAATAAAGATTCGATCAACGTGACCATACAGCATTACTATGCAATCATGTATTTATTTTATTGATAGATAGTTTATCTAAAAATGACAATTACCTTGAGATCGATTTTCAAGGAATAGAAACTGCAGACTGATTGAAAAATATTTTGAGACTGCACTGTATTTGTTTTTTTTTATCGCTTGTGTTTGTATAAGAAGACAACAATCAACAATAATTAGATTTGCAACGACATCGCTGTTTCATGTCACGATGAAACCAATCAAGAATGGATATATATAAGTACTGTTTACTGGTCTCGACCGGAGTTTTGAATTTTATGCTTCCTACGGAGTTCCTAGTTGTTGAAAGCGACAGAACAGAAGATAAAGCATGCCGGCCAGCTCTATATGCTGTTTCAGGACACCAGTATATGCATGATGTACTTGGTCCCGTTAAGGATGAAGTGAGGGTGGGCCATCCGCACTCTCTCCTTCATCCTCTTTTTACTTCAAAATATTTACTTTTCTAACTACATTTTCTGTTTCTCTACCATTTTTTCCCTCGTTTTCTCGTTAACATGTAATAAGAACGATCAGGCTCTTTTCAACAATTCAATAATCTGGAATGGGCTATACATGGCCGACCGCCAAGTATTTTCTTCTGTTCTGTCGTCTCCAGAATCTAAGAATCTCTTAGAAAGCATAAAATCCAAAAAACCGAAGGTGGCCAGTTAAGTGTACTTACACCGTATTTAATGTTAGTGGGATTAATAATCGACAGAACAACTAGCATTGTATTAAAAAAAATATATGAGACTCAAAAGTATCAGAGAGAAGATATACAACGAGTCAATAATGTGTTTATGATACTTAGCAAGGTACCTGTAATTTTTAAAGAGAACTTAATAGTGTCTCTCGAAATAGATTTTGTGTCTCGTTCTAGTATTCAAATCTAACTTTTTTCTTATCTAGTTCAAATTAAAACGCAGTCAATAAATATATGCTCTTCTATCATTTCGAAATTAGATATCAATCTTATTGATGAGACAGCTAAAAATTACTTTCGGGAACTATGGTTATCAAACGTAGAGTTTATATGATTACTATAATATTTCATCCAGTTCAATTTTTACACTAGCACGCTGTTTGTCAGATCAAAATTCCATTGAAGTTTTATTGCTTCAAGGATGGAGAGCAAACATTTCTCAATCACATAGTTTTTTCTTCATCTGTAGAATTTCTGAATTAAGAACAACAGTAAAACACATACATAGTTCAAAAATATCAGAAGAAATCGTGTCTAACTCAAGAATAGTGTTGTAAATTATCGATATTTTGTTGCATTTCAAGTACACATTGAAGATTTTTCTCAGTTTTGGCCGATTCTGTCTGTTCTAATGGTGCAATATGTGAGTATATTTTCAGTGCTCGTTCAAAATAATGTCGTGCTTCGGATAATTCTCCTAAATTCATTTGTGCCAGACCTAGAGTATTTAATAATTCCGCTGATTGAGATGGATTCGATGAACGAGTACGTTCGAAAAGTATCAAAGCACGTGTGCCCAATTTCAGTGCTTGAGCATCATCACCTAGATCATGATGAATATTTGTCAATAAAGCCAAACTTTTTGCCACAATAGTGTCGTTTTCAGATTCACAAGATTCACATAACGTCCATGCTCGTTGTGCATAATCAAGAGCTTCCTTGAACTCTTTGTGAGCTCGATGAGCATTTGAAATCTTAGTAAGACTAGTAGCCATCGAATTCAAATCACGTGGATGAGTAGATTCATACAAGGATAAAGCGCGATTATGATATTGTAGAGCCGATTCATAATCACCACAATGATGATAAACTGTGCCAAGCCGTGATAAAGTATCGACGATATCTTCGCCTGCCTAACAAATAAAAAAAATAATCCCTGTTTGTCAAAAATTCCATTGATTATTGGTTATTATTTTACTTCTTCTTGCATTTTAAGTGCCTGTCTATAACATTCGATTGCAGTATCGTAGTCTTGTTTTTCATCGGCAGACAATTGACCAATTAATTTAAGAATTCGAACTGACAATGGTCGAATACGTCGATAAGCCAAAATTGCTCGATCAATATCTCCATGTTTCAAATATTTCTTTGCTTCTAATTCATCTTCGGATATTTGAGAATTGCCGATGCGTGTCAGCTCATTTCTAAATAATAAATCATCTCAAATAACTTTCAGCCACCTTTTTACATCATGCGAATACGATGTTTTATGAAGTACTATTACCTGGCTTCAACTGTAGTTGTTGGTGGTGATGATGGTGGTGGAGTTGGCGATTTTGATGGAGCAGATAACTCATCGAGTAGAATTTTGATAGTCTTTCCTTTATTTTTTTCTTTATACTCTAATGCTAGTTTCTTTCCTTCATCTGAAGCAGTCTTCAATTTGATAATCGACATCGAACCTCGATTGACGCATACTACTCGAAAAATTGTTGCAACATCAAAAATCACTATTGTTGAACCGTTTTCCATTGCAACTTCAGCAAATCGAGATGATGCATCAAAATCAATTTTAAACAGGACAGATGAAAGGTCAGATCGATATCCTGGTGATGCAGCCGATTGTAATTCGATATTTCTTGATTTTGTACATGTAAAAAATCCGTTGACACATACTAGTTCACCTGTATGCGTTTCGAACATATCGACCAGTTCATTTGATAATTTCATGCCTCGATAGACTTGCCCATGACCAGTGCGTTTCGATTGTTGTTGTAAGATACGGATCGCATCGGTAATAAGAAATTGATAAGGTGAGAGTTGCTTAAGAGTAGGTGACATAAGTGCACATCGTAGAAGACGCGATGGAAAGGGTGAACGAAAACACCAACGAAGGGAATCATTCGCTCGGTAAGATTTATCGAATTCATCAATTAGTTTTAGTCGTTTTGGATTGCCTCGATAATAGTTTCGAGCTTGTTCTACCAAATAATTTTTACTGTTCGGCATTGCTTTTTGACTTGTTATCTGAAGAGAAAAAAGAGAATTATTAAAATGAAAATAAAATTTACAAAAATGAAAAATGACTTACTTCTACCTTCCATAATTGCCACCATATAAAGACTTTATCAGTTTCAAATGCAAATCTTTCTAGTTGAATCTGTTCAAATGTATCTAATGTAATTCTGAGTACTCGAAGAAGTTCCTCTTGTTGAGTAAAAATATCGATTAACTTTGGAAAATCTCCTCGAACACTGTTTGTCTCAGGATCGAGCACAAAGATAGCTTCTACAGTTGTGCATAGATGTACTGTCGCTATCAGTTCAGTATTACTCGACGATGTAATGAAGAAAATTTTCTCATGAGAACATTTTATGAAATCTAAACAAGCTGATGCATCCGTAAAAGTTCGGACACAATCATTAATTGCACGAAGGGTACCAATAAAAGTTCCAGTCGAATCCCGTCGAAGATCAAGCCATACAAAAGTAATACATTCGCGATTAATATTTAGATCAATTTCAGTAGTGCATGCACCAATCGTTGTTGATTCTTTTTTCAATGGAGTTGCGGATGTTGATTTCTGTGTTACTACAACATTTGAATTACTTGCTGAGTTCATTTTTTGTTTCTAATTTGCTAGAAAAGAAATTCATACACACGTAATTAGCTATTCTTTATTTGTGCATTCTATGTCTATCGCAAGCTTATCTTCAATAATTGAAATAGGTTTCTCTAAAAAGAATTATTAATATTCTTATTTTCTCATAGGATGCAACGTTTTTTCTTCAAGTAAAATAATTCTGTATACTCACTAAAATCGATGAGAATACGATTTGAATTCTACAACAGAAGCGTTAGCATGTAATGGCCAATTCCTTATGATTACTTTCTCTTTTTCTTGTAGATCAGAACGAGAGAAAAAACAACGTTGTTAAGTGCTGAGAACAAGCATGTGCAAAACAATGAAATGTTGATTTTGTTGACAGGTGTTGTCGCATAGTTAAACGCATACATTTGTTTTCATAGTACTTAAAATTCATATTTTTTTTTCATCGATTTGAATGTTGAAAAGCTTTGGAGAAGTCTCTTTCATCTATTCATGTTGTTCATATAAATAGCAATAATCTATTGATGCTTTCATAGTTGAGTATATATCAACTTACTGAATAATGATACTCGAGCTCGATCTGTTCAAATCATAGCAAAAAAAAACAAAGTTTTCTACACTAAGCTGCACTCAAAACAAGAACTCTTGGACATGCCTATCTAGAACGCTAACATGGAATGAATATTTTCTATAATAGAAGCATAACACATCAAAAACAAATACAACTATTAGATCGATGCTTCTTTAATAAATAGTTTATTTTTTATGATAGAATTTCTAACGTAACAGGATTGAAAGATGTGAAGATGACTGAGACACTCATTACCATCAAGTAAAAACAAAAGAAGTATAATGAGATAATAGATAGCAATGGATTGTTTTGAATTCATCCATGATCATATGAAAATAGTACTATTTCATGAGCATCGTCAAATTAGAACTGGGCTTTCTCTTAAAATTGATCGAATTAACTGTGATTCTGAATGCTTCTTTTATTCTCTTCATTTTTGTCAAAAGAGTTTGTCGTAGTTGAACGGATATAAAGGTGAACTCGTGGAAAACGTACTAGAATTCGAAAAATCTTTTAAGGATAGAACCATTCGAAAAGTTTTTTTAATACATCAGTCTGATAGTCGATGGAAAATAGGTAGAGAGCATTTTTTAGATTATAAATATACTGAAATCGTCGAAATCTACGATTCATTTTAGGAAAATCTACTCATTTTAGTGGATGTAGGTAGTGTGAATCAGACTCATTTTAGGCTCACAGCTGGTGAATAAACGTTATTGACGTTCCTAAAGAATATCGTAGATCTCGACGATTACAGTATATTGTCATCCAAAAAACTGTTTCATACCTATTTTTCATCGACTCTCAAGCTAATACGCTAACAACAATTTCCAGATCGATGGTACTTTTTCCATGGATTCACGTAACCTATTTTTAATAACTGTGTGATATGAAGTAGCTGTTCATTCAAACATGTTCATCTTTCTTCTTTTTATTTTTAAAAGTAAAATGATCAGTTTTTTGATGCCTCACAATCTTGATATTTTCATATTAATATTATGCTAAATGATTCAAGTTTATCATTGATAATACCATAACTGTCTCAATCTTGAAAAAGAATCATGATAACTAGTTATATTATGTTCCTTTGCTTTTATTTGATGAAAAAAAAAGTATCGAAAAAACACATTTATATTTGTAAGAAAGTTTGAATAAAACAACATGTTTACAGCATCTTCTTACACCTAGGTGGTGGATTGGAACCCTATTTACAATAAAAAACAAGAATATCTATTTAAAATCAAAAATAATTCATTAATATTACCTTATATGTGTCACAAATAAGAGCAATAAGATCTGTCTCTGCCAAATCTTGAATCTCTTTTGTATGATTACCATTGAGTGTTACATATGGTACAAATGCTTGTGTTGGTTTAGTATTTTCAGTTTGAACAGCATATGCATGTTGTAATTGATTTCCAATTCGACTATTTGTACAAGTTGCAACTTTTTCGAAATCAACGCTTGTATTTTTCGCACATTGTTTTGCCACTGTTTCAACATCACCTACTATGGAATCCATGCAATAGATGAAAGGCTAAAAAGAAATATTTTCAATGTTTGTTTTGTTATATTGAATTCGTTTTTGTTTTTAATCTTTACCATATGCTGTTGAATTTCCGGATACAATGCTATGACACATGTCTGAAAAATGGACATAAAAAACTTTTATATCTGAATCGATATACAATTATATTTACATGAATAAGATTTGCATAACATTCATCAGGACCATGTTGACAATAGAATTGATAAAGTTGTGTTTCAGGTCGATAGACTTCATGAGCATTTCCATAAGGAATAAAAGTTAGATTAACTATATCGGCTACAGCTTGATATGCAAACCATACTTGTGTAATAATAAATTGACGACAGTCAGCACAAAGTGCTTCATAATAAATTGTAAAATTAACACGATCATTATCCATAGTCTTCCATACAAATGATGCACATTGTTTTGTTACCTAACAGACAAAGAAATTATCGTAGAAGACAAGCTGAAAGCAACGTTAGTACAAACTCCGCAAGCTGCAGCAATTTCTTTAGTTTTACACCAGTGAGCTGATGAATTAGGACACTTAATAGGAAATGCAATTGTGTTCAAGATGGAAGCACTGTAAATAGCAACAATAAGAAAAGAAACGGTATTCATGATGAGAAAGATAAACAGAAATGTTTTATGTGCATATAGATAAGAATTATATGTAGATGAAAGAAGTCAGCATGACAATGAAACAAATAATAACTCATCATATTAACTTATCTTTTGCTGACAACATTTATCTTCACAAAAATTATTTGAAGACATCATTATGTTTGTCTTTTTTGAAAACTGAAACAAACTCTTGTTAGGAATATTTTCGTTTCTTTTTATAGTCTGAATTTTGACCTTAATTGATATCAAAATATCATCTTCCATCAAAAGAACTAGACTTTATGTACAATCATTAAACACAACAAAGTGCTAAATATAAGTTTGTATCTTCATCAAATACACAATATAAACCAACAAAAAAAAAAGGTTTTTCATAGTTAATAGGTAAACTAAACACTTGATCTAGTTTTTCTATAAATACAAAAGTTTTTCTTTTGAACAGATTTATGATTAAAATGATTAATATTATAACTTTAATTGTTAAAGACATCTGTCTATGAATAATAATTATTGATTTCATATTATTTATTCTTATTTGACGAGCACGTTTTTCTATTGATGATTGATGAATAGTATTTAAAAGAACTGATGAATGATGTTTTTTTTTTGGTATATCGACAGAAAATGAACCAATAAAACAGATGTTGATTGGTTCTGTCTATTATATTTTTTTATAAATTCTTATGTAATATGTAATTAATTTCTTTTCTTGCTAATGTTTTTTTTTCGAAATGATTATACAATTATTTTATATTTACTGAAGAATAGAAACTAGAAATACATAATCTAGAATAATATTTATTAAATTTATTTTTATGGAATAAAATTATTTTAATGATTTCTTTCTTTTCGATTATCACAGGAATAATCCTATTCGATAATTTTGTTTATAGAAAAAATAAATAAATAAATAAAACGATATTTTCAATGTTGATTCAAGACTTTTAGATCTTTATTGATATAATTTGAACGAATAAAAATGTCTTTTCTTTTCCTATTGAAGTCATTCCTTTCTATTATTTGCTAGGCATTAGTTTAGCCGATATGTGAATTGATGGAAGATGTTGAAACGATTTTAAAATTTTTCGTTCTTGAATTCAACAAAAACGAATTTGTTACAACTTTGACATATGATTCTACCTTTTGAATACTAAATAATTACCAATTTTCAATGCAATAGCTGTTACTATGATTGAAAAATCTTTACAACATTAACACGTAGTATTGTGTCAGTTTTATAAGAACTAATTTTAGTAAAATTTGTTACAAAAGTAACAAAATAAAATTTTATATTCAGAGTCTCTCTGATAAATACCACCCAATACAAAAAAATTTTCATTCATATATATCGGTTTTATTCTTGCAAACATTACTATAGCGTTATAATTGCTAATAAATATGCACAATTCATTCAAACTGTTGTAGCAGAAAAACATCTGATAAGAATTAAGCTATTAAAGAAATTGAATATTCAAGATGATGAACATTTTAAATCAAGGATGCCTTTGAATTTGAGTACTCGTAACTCATGTGAGCTAAAAAGAAACGAAGACGAGAGTTATGAATATTTCGCAATGTCCATAATACCGGTCCTTGAACTCCGTCATTTCTAGTTCAGTGATCTATCCACCACGTCCAGACTAATCCTTAGAAGAAAAAGAAGATAAAAGATGAATGCAAATATCCCAATCGACAGTATTCAATAACTAAAGACTGTTCTGAAGTCAAATCATGATTTACCAATAGAATGGTGTTAATTTGAATAGTTCAAATAGTCGAACGATACTCGTGCATTTACTAGGCAATTAAAATCTTCTCAAAGACAAATAACTTCACCATTCTGAAACGTCTTCTGCACTCGTCATGACTAATCGAGTTGTTAGAATATATCGTGATTACTAATTCAGAACATTATGACATTTTTGAGCCACTCGTTCTTCTTACACTAAATTGTCCAACCAACTGATTTAGCATGACCAATAAAATGCAGAGAAAATTTTCCAATATCGATATAGTTTGTTTATAATATATGGTAGATAATCAGATGAATTTACAACACGGACGAAATAATCGAATAAAAATCATTTCGCTAACTATGTTTTATTAAAAATCAAACAGACTTCTAGATTTATGTGTTAAAATAGACATCTTACAATTTGTTCCAAGCTTTAATATTTAGGTTTCTGGAAGTTTTATACTCAAACTTTGTTTCACAAGTACATTTCAATTACCATGTTAAATAATATTAATGAAAGACTTATATAGTTATATTCCCAAAATATGATG